GGCAGATCTGAATATTCCACATCAATGTGTACTAGATCCTTTAGTCCTTCACTTGACTCACATAAACATGTGATCAACGAATTAGTCATGATCTTCCAATGATCAATATTCTCATACATCAACTCCAAGTCTCTGTCCAATTGAAACTTGGGTGATGAGAATTCCTTTTCACTTGCTTGATTATGACATTTCCACAAATGACATAATTAAGAATCAAATCCATATTCAACATTTCTAGTAATAGAAATGTAACCACCAATTTTCATAAATGCCATTATAAGGAAACATAAAAGAAACCAGATAAAAACAAAAATTCACTTTATTGATAATGAATAGAAAAATTTTGTCCTTACAATACAAATGTATGAAAACTATGTTTCTAGATATTTCCTAAGTAATCTATCATAACTCCTATGAAGCAACTCAAAAATCTGATCATCGAACTATGAGACCGAAATCCATCTCTCACGATCAGATTCGACTTATTCTTCTTAAGCTTCCTTCTTTCTCTTAGATTTTTCAAAACAGCAAAATGTGACTATCACATCATGTATTAAGAATCTATGAATAGGAACTTAATAAAATAATGGAGTTATATAGTGGATGTACCTGAAGTAGAGTCATACAACTTGACTTTACTATCTTTAAGATATTTTAGGTAGTCCGGGCAGCTTCGCAACCAATCCCCCTTCAATTGGCAATAGAAACACATGGACCTTTTGGGATTAGCACATGGAACTATCTCATAATTAGCATTTCTCTTTACCACATGGTCAAACAGTTTGACCTTGGCTTATCCCTTTCCATTGGGAAGAGAAACCTTTTCTGGACTACCAATATTTCCATTGTCAATGTCCACAGAAATTGGGAGATAGATCCTTCAAACATATTTTCTTGAGTTGTGCTCTGAAGCATTTGAGCTTCAGCAGCAATCAACATATATGCTAGATCCATTAGGGTCACATTGTGGTCTCTCATATAGTAGTCTTTAATGAACTGACTATACGATTCAGGAAGCGGAACTAGAACCAAGTCAATGGCCAGCTCCCAGGGGAAAACGACACCCAACATCCCCAATCTATCAATGTGCAGTTTCATTTTTCAAAACATGCATACGTACAGACTTTCCATGCCAATAGGACTTGAGTAGTTTCATATTTTTCAACTTGATGAAGAAATGACTTAGGAGAGTCACTGGAGGAGGTGGAGGAAGATTTGGAGAAGCATGATTTCCAGTTCCACCATTGCTTGAAGAAGGGAACATTCTTTCACCTTAATAAATATGTGGAAGATCATCTTCAGATAGAGAAGGAAAAACATTTCCAGAAGAAGGAGGAAGACCATTGTTCTCTGAACTTGACATCTATAAAGGGAGAATAAATAATTCAAGTTAGTTGATTTTAAACCTTAATTATTAACCCAAAATGTTAAATTAAAGCTACGATCCATATTTTTTGATTCGAATTCTGACGAAGGATATCATAATCAAATTCGAGTCTATTTTAGGTAGGCAAAGCATTTACCAATTTCAATCTTATGAAACTCTTAGATCTTATGAGATTCATTAAACTATTCAATGGCATGTTTAATCTAGGTTATGCTCTCACTTTGTGACTGGGATACCGAGGATCTCAAACGATATGTAAATAACCATTCAAATTAGCTTGATACTCTCGGTGTCATTTATCATCTGAAATAAATGTGTCGGTTAACCACACTCACTCCATTAGTTCAATGATAATTTACGAGACACCCATTGCCAACAATATTAGTCACATATTAGTGTGTCGGTTAACAATACACAATCCACTAACGACGAATAAGGTGCAACGTGCAACTTCATGGATTAGCATTAAATTCACATTTTTTCTAAAGTAACTAAGAATGGGATTTTAGAAAATGGTTTAGTTACTTTATCATTATACTCTTAATGAGGATTAATTGTCCTATCGAACCCATTCGGATAACGACCCTCCACCATACAAGATAGGGGTAGGTAAGAATGGATACCCAATGGCGGTCATTATACATGTCACTTCCTTAAACTCCCCTTATAGCGTGGCTTCGTGAATGAGGCGTACTAGCGGTTCGACTGACTTTTCTTATACATATAATATATATATTAGACTCTTAATTATATATATAGCATAAGATGAATTTTAAACATTTTAAAATTCCAAGAGTTTAATCTTATAATAAATTAAACTTTTAATTTAATTAAATTTAAACCAATTATAGATGTATTAATTATCCTTTAACAAATCAATTAATTAAATTAACAATAAGATCCATAAGGATGTATTTTAACTTTTCTAAATACTAAGGTTTTTAATCATTTAAATTTTTTGAAACTAAAAGCAATTTTAATTGAATTTAAAAGAAATTTTATTTAATAACTATCTATTAATTAAAACTTTTAATTAATTTATTAAATCATCTAAGGATTATCCAATTAAATTAATCAAATTAATTTAACTTAATCCATATCCCCTAGATCTCAAAAATATGGGAGGGGTCCTACAAAATCTTCCAATAATCTTGATAAACAAGAACAAGATAATTACCAAAAAAAAAATTTTAAAAATCCCACCAAATCTCTAAGTTCCATAATATGGTAAATCTTGGGAAGAAGGCAAAGATTTCAATCCTTGCCTTATATTCAAAAATCCCTAGGGTTAGGAAACCCTAGATTTTGAAATTTTGGAGGCCAAGGGAAAAGGATTAAAACCCTTAGGCAATTTTTTTAAATTACGGTTAGGAAACCCTGAATTGCGAAAACCATAATTCCAATGGGTTTAATTTCCATAAACCCTAATTTTCAACTTAAACCAAATGCATCATATTTAATAGAAAACAATCCTAGGCTCTGATATCACTGGTGGATTTTGAGCAGAACAAACAATCTCTATGTGTGCATGCAACCCTAATTTGTAGGATCTAGGTTTTCTCTAATTGAACATACAAGTATTGAACACAAAAGAATAAACCCTAGGAGCTACCTACTATTTTCGAAATTTATATTAAGAGATAGTAGGCATACCTCTAATTGATATGTAGAAATAACAATGTGGATCCAAGAGTTCTTAAAGATTGATAGACCTTTGGTAGCAAGCGCCACAAGTGTCGCGCCTCTAATGGTTCGCAAACAAGCCCTAGCAACCAAGGAAAACTATAGAGAGAGAGAGAGAGGCGAGAAGCCTAAATTTCATCCAAGGAACTTAGAAAGAAGTCATGGCCAAAATTCTACCCTAAGGAGGGTTTATATAGGTGTTAGGAAGGTATTGGATTAGGAAGGTATCTCCAAGATAACCCTAATCCCTTAACTTCCTCCCTAAGGTATCCATGGCACCCTTAGAGCCCAAGGAAACCCTAGAGACACTCTTGATTTTGTCCCCCCCCCCCCCCCCACACACACACACACACACCTACACCTTTTTAGGGAGGTTCTAGAACTGCCCAATGCGCGACTTTTAAATATTTTCACCTTTAGTCCCTGTAGTTTTATTTAATTCCTTTAACCCCAAAATTAATTCCAAATTAATTTCTGATTAAATATTAATTAAACAATATAATTTCTAATTAATATCTTATTTCCATAATACATTAATAATTCATTTATTTAGATTTTTAGTTAATTTATTAACCAAGTAATAAATCAATAAATCATTCTTCTCTCTCCAAAAGTTATCCTATTCAATTGACATGTTTGAAAAAGTTATCCTTATTATTCTGTCCATTTAATCTTTCTTTTGAGGATCCATTTACATCATAATGCCTTGCATCTACGAGGTAAATAAGACAACACCCAGGTAAAATTATGCATGATAGTATATGTAGGTTCCATGATCAGATACAAACAAGTAAGAACAATACAATTATCACAAAGATGGTTTTCACTAAGAATGGTTATCACAAAGATAATGAGGTGCACAAAGCGGCTATTAGGGTTGGACTCTAATACAAGAATATATAAAGAGACGACTATAGAAATCCCTACATTAACAGGATTGTATTAAGTCTATAATATGGACCCATCCTAATCACAAAGATATTAGATTAGTTGGATAAAAGTTATAGTTACTATAATTACAATTATAGACTACAGTAAATTATACAAGGGTTACTATTGGGCTTTTGCGTGCTAGCGTTGGTGTTGTGTTGGTGATCAGCGTGTGATAGTGTTTGACTAATCGGATTATAAGGTTCAGCCTTACAATCTCCCTCAATCTGATGATGTCAAAACTAGCTTCAATAGCATTCGTCAACTTCTTTCAAGATTTGTTGCTTCATCCATTAAAAGTTATTTCCTTTAACCTCTTCACTGTGATTTCTTAGTTCCACTAAGATCAGGGAATGATAATCTTGTTCTACTTCTTCATGTACCATGCATTCCAGTCGAAGATGAAAAAGGTGCTCAGTCGGAGCAGTGTGAAGATCTTTATTATGTTGAAAGAACATCTAATTTGGTACATCAAGATAGCAAATAACATGCTTAGGCTCTCGAATGAACAAATAATGAATCGGCTCAACACTTACTGGAAACATGTTGTTGATGTAGATAATGGAAAAACGAAGAAGGAACTTTGCATATTTGGATAGATTTTGCTTTGGTGTTGAAACTAAGCTAGAAGGTCAAGAAGGAGGAGCTGAGGGCACTAAATTTAGTTTTTTTTTACTTAATTGATCATTTGTTGCTGTGCTAATTTCATCTCCTCATCATGAATACCTTTATACTAAGATATTAACTCTTGAATTTGAGTCCACTCACTGTAACCGTACTTGACCAATTCACGAGAAAACATAATTTCAGTGTATTAATACTCAACTTTCTTTCTGACCAGGTGGATCTTCAATGTTCGATCCTTGGGTTTAGTACACCTAATATTTATAATAGGGTCAGGCTTAATTCTTTGAGCTAGAACATTCTCAAATTATTTGACGGCGAGCTTCCTTTTCTTGCTAAGAGGAGTAGAGGAACCTTCATCAGCATCACGAGCTCCCTAAGGAGATGGTATTCTTTTTCTTGTGATGAGCAGATTATTATCACACTCAACATCACTTTCAAAGCCCTGATGAAACTCCCATTTAATATTAGCTTCTAGATAAATAATGTTCAGAGGCACAGCTTGTAACATGAAATCCATATCTAGAAAGCCTTCCTCATCATCAGTATCAGTATCATGTGGTTCATCAACATTTTCCACATGATCAGTGTGAAATACAATTGCTTTATCATTCTCCCCCTTTTTGGCATCATCAGCATGAGGAGAAGAACCTCGAGTAGAACTCAGAGGAGTGTTGTGAGATAGAGATGGAGTTGAAGGAGGAGGATTTGATAGAGGAAATGGTTGAAATGGAGCTGGAGGATTTTACCAATTGGCAGAGTGGAGATGGTGGTGTCTGAGAATGCGATATTATTGGCTTAGATAAAAAATGAGTATCAGGAGTTTTTCGAGCTTTAACGACGTTTGTATAGGAACAAAGGAGAATAGGACACAAGCCATAGATGATTTCTAATAAAAACTTGAATGCAATTGCAGAACTTTAAGCAACGAAGAATATAATTGGAAAGGGTTTTTATGAGTTTCACTTGAGGGTTAAAGTAACCTATAAGAGAGAATGCTCCTATTTATATTAAAAAGTCTCCCATTTTTCACGTAATCATTATGGATAGAGAAATGTCGTAAAAGTCTCGAGCTCCAAGATGACGGTTTACATCCTTGTCCTTATCGGAAAGTTACTGTTATAGGTACCATTATAATCAGAGTGACATGGAATATCAACAAGTAGTGCAATGGATGATAGAAACATATCATGATTTGCAGCTAAAATAATCAGCTTGTCATTAGTTGTAGTGGAATAATGGATGGGATTGTGATGTCTCATTGACATAGTATTGCAAATTCCCATCAGCATATGGTTTGATACACTTAATCATGAACTTCTTTTATTAGATGAATAAGGATAAGAAAGGTACGATACATGTATTACATTTTGGTTTTTAAATGTACCCATTGGCATAGAATGTCGAAGTTTTATCAGTCTATTGTTAGTACAGTGAATCATTAACTTCTTTGTTAGAAGCTTTATAAGGCGAGAGTGGGAAGGTGCGTGTAATATACCAGGGTACATGATATACCCATCGAAACAAATTTTTGAAATTCTCATCAGTGTCTGGCATCATACACTAAATCATACAACTTTTCAAAGAAGAATAAAGGGTAAGAAGGGATTGATGCATGTGATAGACTATAGTACATAGTCTAACCATCGGCATAGAGTTGTCAATTTCTCATCAGTGTCTAGTATCATATGTTGAATCATAGAACTTTTAAAGAAATAATTGGTGTATAAATGGGTTGGTGCATGTGATAGACTATGGTACATAGTCTAACCATCGGCATAGATTTTTGAACTTGTACCAGTGTGTGGTATTACACAGCGAATCGTCAAGTTTTTTGATAGAAGACTTGAAATGAAAGATATAGAATGTCTCAATCATGATGAGGTGACATCAGCGTGAATCATAGACAGGGCGTAACTCATCAACAAAAAGTTGTTTAATCCTTGTATCATGAAGCTAGTTGTATTTTAGAATCAAAGATTCACCATTAATTCATTAAATCTAGTATAGACAGAAATAAAAAAATAAAAAAGAATTAGTCAAGGAAGGAGACATTAATGCAGCTTTTTCAGAAGAGTCATAAAGAACATATTTGACAAATCTTTTGAATTAAATGGTCATTAATGACATTCTTCTTTCCAAGAAATATACCACACATTTTGTGTCTATAAAAAGAACATAATTGCATCACAAAACAAGTTAAAATAAAGATTCACACACACAAAGATAGAGAGAAATGTTCCTATCCAAGAAAATACTACATATGGATGCCAAATTTCATATTTATCAAGATCAAAGGGTGTCCAATCTATGTAATCTTAGCGTTATGCAGGCCAGTAGAAGGAGACTCGAAGAAACAAGGCATTGGGAACTATCAAATGAGAGACATGGAGCATTGTATTGATAATGTGTTTATTATATCTCTAATGGGGTTTTGCTTTAGCAGTGAGATTGTTAATGAATATTAGTCAATGCATGCTCAATTTCTTCAAATAGCCACATTTCAATAGAAATAGGCATCCAGAAAGGACATGAGGAGAATCCAAAACATATAGTTCATATACAATTCTTCCTAATCATGTGCAAATAGTTAGACGCTCAGTGTCTCATATCCTAACCATCAGCTTCATATTGAAACATGCAAGAGTTGAAGAAAAGATGCAAAGTCAAATCCACTGATAAGACCTTGTAACAAGAGAAGTTCATGTTTAAGAGAGTTGGTCATTTCCTTAAGGATAAGAATATATTTGCTAGTGTCACAGTAAAAAAGGTTATAAGAAAACAAAATACTATAGATCATTAGATTAGAAGCATGCAATGTATACTCCTTTGGTAGAACGCGGGCTAAAATGTTATGATTCTTGAAGCTTAAATCATAAAAACTTAAGTTTTTGAGTTATAAAAAGAAAATCAGTAAAAAAATTAAAACATAAAGCAATCATAAAGAAATAATTGCTTATCAAGCAAAATAGTATCAACCGTGTAAATCGTCTGGAAGAGAGAACAATATGAAAGAAGGAACCCAATCTTGCCTCTTTGAATCTCTTGCAGCTAGAGAGAGGTCATCATCAACCATGTTGGATCTGTTGTCACATTTTTCAGTGTGAAATTCATCAATGTGAACCATTATACACTTTCCTTTTGGCTCCTCATTATCAGAAGACTCTTCTTCATCTACCCACTTCTTTGGTTTCTCCTGTTTGACAACAAGATCCTTTGGTAGAGATATGTTTTCTTTCTTCAAGTAAGTAAGTAGCTTCTTGTATAACACTTCATAGCTTTCATAGTTTTGATATGATAGCTTGTTAAAAGTTATGATAGCTGGTAAAATATAGCAAGTATATTACTATGATGAGTAAAAATTATAATATAATGCTTAATTTTCCCTAATATAAAAAAACAATATTTGTCTATATACAACAGATAATCTTGTTGTTGGAGATATGTGTTGGGAGGGTATTTTCTAAGCTCATACATTCGCAAGAAAAAACTAATGAATATATTAAGATTGTTACCGGAAAACAAAAAGACATCGTATCATAAGATTCAATATTGGCATTTGAAAACAAAAGCCACACAAGCTCCTACTTAAATTATTTAGAACATAAAGCATCCATCAAAACGAAGTTGGTCAACTTTTAACAAATTATTAACTAACCAAAACATTTGTTTTTGCCAAACAGAAACAAAAATGCTTCAATCATGTCATGATCAAAAGATCATAAAAATAATGATGATGCATGCATTCCTCCACTTAAACTATATGGGGATGATTGAAGACTGTCTTATAATAAGAACTTGAAAACTCAATAGCTTATTTACCATGTAAACATTTTTAGCAATGCAACAAATACTGATGATGCATGCATTTTAAGTATGTTGAGATGTCTCATCTACAATATTAGTTAATCAGTCACCTAAAGAGTTTATCTACATCATCTCAGCATAAACGGTTTATCAGCTAATAAGAACTTTACATGGAATTTGCATAATAAAATATTAAGTCATACAACATTTATAAAATCATGTAAATCTCATTATTCTTCCATCATGGCTATAAACTAAGATCCAAAAATCAGTTAAGGACAATAAACTCTTAAAACTATCAAAAATCCAATTCTCAAACTGCGAATCAACTAAAAAGGATTTTAAGGTTGAAATTAACTTGAATAAATAACTTACATTTATGGCGTTATTTTGCAAAAGAAAGCTTAAGCCAAAAAAAAAACAGCACAGAAGATTGTAAGGGTCACAAAGGAAAAAGGTTTTAACCTTCAAAAATCCGATAAAGATTCGGAAGACTAAAGTCCAACATTTGCATACCAGAGAAATTACCTTGTATATAATCAGATAATTCACACGGTATCGTCAAATTCATATTTCCACACAATCAAACATTGGTTTTCAAATAGACGAAATCACTGAAGTCCATTTGAAGCTTCTATGCAGTTATGAAATTCTGGTGCTTTACATGTTTGGCTAAGTTGTCATCGTAGGGAATCAAGAAGAAATATTAAAAATATATACATATAAAACTTAAACAACCACACAAAGAAAAACATCATACATGAATCGAAAGGGGATGAGAAGGTGTCAAAAGTTGGATCGTATCAGATATGGCATAAATAAATGGGAGCCGGTCACACAAAACCCCAAAAACAATTGATGATAGAAAATCGAAAGAAAGAGAATAGATAGAGCGATCTATGAGAATCTGAAGCACAAATCAAACAATTTGTTCAACAATGGCTTTTACAGATGGATGGTGGAAGCAAAATATGAAACAATGTACTAACCTCAAAATAGATATACAAAATGGAAGCAATTTCCTTTTGTAGTTATCAATTCTTTCAAAACTAATGACTGTGACGGAGGCGGTTTAGGGTTTGGCGACAGAGAAGACGAAGATGAAAGAAATTTTATCTGAATGAACATGACCGATGATGGTATGATCGTGGTCGTGGTCGTGGTTGTGGTCGTGGTCGCCCGCTTTTGTAGATATACAAGATGTTCCGATCTTCTTCCAGATAAAGGCTCCGATACGTCAAGTTTGTGGTCGTGGTCGCCCGCTTTAAAGTGATTTAGGGGAAACCACAGCTCGATTTAAATATAAATACAATCTCTAAGATTTGGAGATTTGACGTGTTTTAAAATTTCAATCACTAATTTGGTTTCCAAAATTATTGGAGAAATTTGAGAAGAAACGGTTGAACAAATAGAAGATTTTCTAATTTCTTGCTGAATTTTTTAAATACTATCGGCTAGTGACAATATGTTTGACTTTAAGGGCAAATGTGGAATTTTAGTTCAACATTTTGAGAGGGAAAATTAGTTGGGAGGGGATTATCAATTGCCACGTGGCAAAAATCTACTTGTTTATTAGATAAGGAGATTATTATTTTGATATTACCATAAGGTTTCGTTTTTAAAGTGAGGAGGTCATTGGACACCAAGATCAAAGCATGAGCTAACGCGGTTTTTCATTTTCCTCCTAACATTGTTGGGTTTGGATATTTGATGGTTAAGGAAATTGTTCCATGGTAGGAGTTCAAAGTTTGATGGTTGTTTTGTTTGTATAGCAAATGAAGAAAGAAATAGTATGAAAAAACTATAGTAAAATGGTTGGTATTTATAAGAATAATGAATTGGTTAATTTTTAATGATTTTAAAAAATATATATATAGTCGTTAGTAGTCAGAGAAATTGATTGCACAAAACCCTTTGATAGGTCGTTGCCTCTCGTGCCATTACGATAATGCATCACATATGTTGCACCACAGGTCACCAGACACCGAGATCAAAGCACAACCGTGGCCAGCACGCCACGTAAGCCACAAGCATCTTCGTGCTTTCTATACCAATCGGTGTGATGATACATATTATTCCTAAAAAAAAAAAAAAAAAAAAAAAAAACAAAACAAAACACGAGAGAGCCTCCACATCAGTGATTAGTATTCTTAATGCATTTAGTTCAAATTAACACAATTAGGCAATCAACACTTATCATAGTATACTGCCCATTATTTTATTCACAGATTAAACGTATGTAACTCTGATCAATATTGTTAGTGTTATTGAAATTATTTCTAACAAGTCATTAAAATAATAATGCCTCAACTCATTAAACATCGTACCAACTTAATTGATAGACATCATACATATACACGGGTAATGTTGCAAAATTCATTAGGTGTTTCCATGGCGGCTGACTAACACCTAACAAGTATTCGATCTAGGCGGAGAGTTGGATAAATTATATCTATTTTGTTAAATATATTAATAAACTTGTAATAGAAAGATATAGCTTTTATTTATACAAGCTATAGCTTTAATTTATGCAGAAGTGCTAGGTGACAGTTATTAGATTTTAAAAGCATAAAATTAGTTAAAAACTAAAAACTCTTCTGAGCTTTTTGTTTAAAATAAAAACTAAAAAATTTCTGGTGTCAAACAAAACTATCTTTTTTCAAATTTTTTCTTAAAAGCTAAAAACTAATAAAATATCGATACCAAACAAGCCCTATATATACAAATTTCAAAAGGCTTAATTCTGAAGAAAAAAAAAAAGCACTAGTTTTTTAATCTCCTTCAACCACGTCTTGATTTATTTCAAAGTAAAAGACCACCATATTGCAATTCAAACATGTTCAAATCTCAAAAACTCTTCAAAAAAGATATTACATATCCTAAATTATACAAACTTATTTCCTCTCATCCTATTTTAATACTTGGCTAAAATGCAGAGATTTATTGACCATTGTTGTTCAAAGGTCTCTCACGATTCATACATGCTTAACTTACTATGTGGGAACTTACATACCAGCAAAGCTAACACACACACACACACAAACTTTAGGATAGTAATTGGATCATACAACTTCACCATGTTTCATCTTGAAGTTGAAACTATGTTTAAATTCACCACAGATACCTGAGAAAGATTTTAAGCAACCAAATAATGACTTAAAATAAATGTATGAAAGTGAAACCATAGAATAAGCAGATTAATAATAATAATAATAATAATAATAATAATAATAATAATAATAATAATAATAATAATAATGCACCTTTTTCCAAATTCACTAATGTTACGATATCCGTTGTAGAAGATGAACCACATCAAGACCACAACCAAGCTATCTTAACAAACAGTCAAGTGAAACAAAAGAGAGAAAAATGAAATGACCTAAATACCCTCACCTAATGGTTGGGTTTCCATCCCTGGTTCTACAAATAAAAGAGAGATATGCCACAGGGACCAAAAGTGTAATTTAATCTAAAAGATAAAGATACTGAACAAATATCGCTCCCACCAGTCCAACATGTATAGCCCAAATGTGACATTGTAAAGGTAGATTTTGCGTTGAACCCAATTCATATTCCCTAATAACCTGAGAGACAAAATACACACACACACACAAAAAAAAAAAATGGTTAAAAGTGTTTTCAACAGCATCAAAGGGTATTGATGGAATTATTCCATTAGGGCACTTACCACCCAACCCTACCCTTAATTCAGTCTTTATTTCGAATCCTCGTGAGTAAGTGGTATTATGAAAGAGTTGTTCAAAGTTTCATTCCTTTTGGATCTGTGTTTTGAATTTTGATAGTGAGTTATGCCTAGTAAGTAGTAGTAATCTATATTTGTATGAGTGATTTTGGAGAATGATGAAAATTAGGGTTTTATTTATTATTTGGATTGGAGTTTATACAACACTATTGAATAATTATTTGTTTGTTGAATGTGGGCTGTGATTTCAATTTCAGATTATGAGCCTAAGAAGGCGAATGATACAAGTTTAAAGCGGCAGCTCTCTTACACTTGCTGTCAACAGAGAAATAGCATTACAATTTACACCGAGTCAGTGACACAGATCAGAAAGGGCATGTGGATGATTTAACCTAAGTTCATTCACAACTACACTGAAATCGAATAAAAACGATGATGTAGATCCAATCGAACAAACAACAAGTAGAGGCTAAAACTAACCTATATGACTACAGAGAGCAACATATGACCGGAGAAAGTAAGTTATCCCAAAGGATCATCAAAAAAGCTTCAAAATATATATATATAATATATATATATATATATATATATTATATTATATATATATATATATATATATATATAACAATTAAGGGGAAAAAATCGATAACCTGAGATAGGTGTGTTAAGAGTGGGCGTCCAGCAGCACACCGAACCTGAAGGAAATGAAATTGGAGAGCGTTTGACTTGGTCCTCCCGGCCTTAATATACAACACAACAATTACCGCAGTCCAATGTAAATGAGACAGGGAAGGTAAGATGGTATGCCGCCCCAAGCTTGGGAAGAAGATTCTGTCAAAATAAAATTTAGACTAAAGTGCACGGTCTTGGTTTGCTCAAAATTGCTATTTTGATCTAAAAAAGTTTGAATTAGCACCAGAAATTCAAAGTTTTCATTTTGTTGCTTGTTTGTTTCAAACTGTTTTGATTTTTTTCAAAATGATGAATTTCCCCCTGTTAATAATATTTTTTTTTCCTTATTTTTTTTTCTGATTTCCAGATTTAAAAAAATAAATAAAAATAAAAATAAAATAAATCTCTCTTTCTTTCATATTATTTTTATGATTTTCAGATTTAAAAAAAAAATTAAAAATAATAATAAATATCTCTCTCTCTCTCTCTCTCTCTCTCTCTCTCTCTCTCAAATCCATCAAATTTTCCACAGAAAACCTAGTCTTTACTTGAAATCGGAGAACAAAAACGGCCACCGAAGAAGACGAACAGAGAAAATAGTGGTGAATCCAACGACTCTGACGTCTATCATGAGAATGTGTTCAGCGACTTCGATGTATGACAACCAATATGTCTGCTCAGATTTAGCTGTTCCTATCATCAACGTCATATTCCCCACAAAGAAACCCTCACCACGAGTGTTGCAACCACTGTCTTGAAACCCTAACGAAAATGTGAAAACCATCAAAGGAAAATCTCTCTCTCTCTCTCTCTCTCTCTCTCTCTCTCTTTCTCTCTCTCTCTCTCGATCTTCCTCAGAAAACCCTAGATCTTTCATATCTTCGTTCTTCTTCATCGATTCTTCTCTGGTTGACGAAGGCTATCAAATCATAGGGTTTTCAAGATCAAAGGGTTTTCATAGAGGTTCAACAGCAGAGGCGGTGTGGACTAGTGGTTGTGGTAACAACTCCGACTAAGGGTTTCCAGATCGAAGAGTTTCTAGATCGACGACTCTGCTGGCTCCGATGAAGGGTTTCTAGATCGACGACTCCAATAAGTGGGGGCATTTGGGTTACTATGAAGTTGAAGATAAGCAGAAGGAAAACGGGAGGGGGTTGTTGCCCTCTTGATAACCGAAAAACCCCACCTTCGGTGGAGGTTTTCTCGATTAAAACAGAAGAAGAAGAAGAAAAAGAAGAAGAAGAAGAAGAAGAAGAAGAAGAAGAAGAAGGGATGCAGTAACAATAAGTATGGGAGGGAGGGAGAGAGAGAGAGAGAGAGAGAGAGAGAGAGAGAGAGGGATTTATTTTTATTATTATTTTTTTATTTTTTTTAAATCTAAAAATTAGATAAATAAATATAAGAGAGAGAGAGAGAGAGAAAGAGAGAGAGAGAGAGAGAGAGAGAGAGAGAGATTTATTTTATTTTTATTTTTTATTATTTTTAATCTGAAAGTCTGAAAAAAAAAGAAAAAAAAAAGAAAATCATATTAACAGGGGCAAATTCATCATTTTAAAAAAAAATCAAAACAGATTGGACCAAACAAGCAACAAAATAAAAACTTTGAACCTTTGGTACTAGCACAAACCTTTTTGGATCAAAGTAGCAATTTTGAGTAAACCACAGAGACCATTTGTGCAGTTTAGTTTAAAATTTATCAAAAATACAAATAGGAAATTGTTACAAAAATCTAAATAAAAATAGGAAATTGTTACAAAAATCTTAATATTTTCAAAATTTTCGTTTAGTCTTAAAAAAAATTTAACATAAAAAATTTAGTCTTAAAAATTTTTTTAACATAAAATTACTGATTATTTCATTGTAGTCAATCAATCAAGTCTCTATAACTATTTTAATGACATACAATTCATATTTCATTTGTCTTGTTAAAAATTATATGAACGTTACCATGTAACTGAATGTAAATTTCCTAACATGATTGGAACTTTTTTTTGTGACATAAACTTTATACTTTATTTATCTTCTTCAAAAATATATAAATGATAGCTACACGTAAATTTCTTATATTTAACATGATTGGAAAATTTTAGTGACTTAATTACGAGACAATGACTTTGTAGAATTATCATGTATCACTTTTATTCAACATAAATCTCTTTTATGTCTATTACATAATTTACCATTAAACTTATATATGTTGTTCAAAAACTACCATTTTAACTGACTATTATAGATTTAATCATTTTTATATTTTCAACCATTAGTGGATTTTCGGTCATATTTTCTTGCCCCTAATTGCCAAAAAGAAAAATAACGTCATTTTACATGTTTTTGTTAATAAAAAAACTAAAACACAAAAATCTCCTCATTCTCTTCTGTGGTGAAAATGCTTCCACCCTTTGTCTTACTATTATTGTTATTCACACATTTCTTGCTCATGATACATTGTGAAAATCACCTTATCCTCACACTCCCTCAAACTCCTTTCTTCTTGAAGCATGTGATACTAGTAATGACATTTGTTCAAGAATTTTAGATTAATTTCTTAGTGTGGTGGTGGTGAATAGCGGAGATGGGTGGTGACGTATTGTGGTGTTTGTTGTTGGGGATGGATAATATTGGTGGTAGGTGGTTTGTGGTGGTATGTATGTATGGTGTAACGACCTGGATTTCTATACATAATATTTAAGGGAAATATCATTGTTTTTCTTATAATGCGGAATTCTACTCTAATTATAACATTTTACTTCCCAGGAATAATCACAGGTTTACAATAAGAATATTACATACAAATTAGAACAACAAGGAATTACAAAGATTAGCATCCTATTATCTAAATCTTGACTTCGTGGTCCTATCTTCTCTGTTGGAACGACTACTACAACCTGAACCTGCAAAACATAAAACCTCTGCACCATCAAATACAATGTGTCTAGTGAGTTACTATGTTGTCTTTTCTTATTTTTCATCCTTCTTTCTCTTTCTCATACTTTATCCTCTAGTTCTTTCTATAATAGAACACAGTATTGTTCTTATTCTTTCATCTTTCTCATCTCATCTATCTTTATTCTATAATCTTTTCCTTTTCTCTTATCTTAGCTTCTTAACAAGCTCCTTTCATACTCTTATCTTAGCCTCTTAACATGCTTTTCTCATACTATGTGCATACTTTATCTCTTCTCATAGCCTCGTAACATGCTCTTCTCATCTAGACCAAGCAGTCACATCTCATACCCTACTCTAAGGGAAACAACTTCCTATTATATTACCAGGCACGCTCACCTGGTTTTTCTCCTCTCTCTTGTGATCCCTCGTCGACCCTTAATGTTTATGTTACTATTGAATCAATCACGAATTCCTTACATTTAATCCATCACGGATTACATTTAAGTTCTTATAAAGAACTCTCTTATCTTGTTCCTCTCAAGGAACCTTTCTCTATCTTCTCTAACTATACCTATTTAGATTCTCATAAGAATCATTTATCTACATTCCCAAAGGGAGTCATCCATCTCTTTCCCCGTAGGGACATAATCCCATTCCCGAAGGAATCTTAATCTTTGTGCCCGAAGGACCATACTCTTATTCCCGAAGGAATCATACTCTTGTCGCCGATGGAACTATACTTGTGTCCCTAAAAGGAACCTATATCTCATTCCCGAAGGAGCATCTATCTCTTGTTCCTGAAAGAACCTTCTATCACTTGTTCCTAAAGGAGTCATACTCTTCTTCCCGCAGGAACCATATTCTTATCCCCAAAGTAACCTTACCCTTATTCTTAAAGGAATCATACTCTTGTTCACTTAGGAACCTCTATCTTTTGTTTCCCAAGGAATATTTATATCTTTGTCCTGAAGGACCATACTCTTGTCCCCAAAGGAACCTTACCCTTATCCCTGAAGGAACCTTACTTTTGTTCCCGTAGGAACCTTATTCTTTTTCCCGAAGGAACATTACTCTTGTTCCCGTAGGCACCTTACTCTTGTTCCCAGAGGAATCTCTATCTTTTTATCCTCGAAGGAACATCTTGTTAGATTAGGTCTATAAGGTCTTAATTAAATTGGTATATACTTAGTGAGTAAAAGCAAAGTCCTTTTGGGTTGCCCTCATTACTAGAAATACCTAGAATTGATATTAGGAGGTAGATAAAATGATTTTTTAATATATTATATGATTGATATATTAATTAGAAATTGATAATAATTATAGAATTAATTTGGTATTAATTATAATTAACTAGAGATCTAAGGGTTGAATTGTAATTGTTCATAGTTGAGCAAGGAAACAATTCTAGGACCCTCTTAGGGTGGTGGACGATTTTACAAGGCTCTTGGAGGATTCTAGAATACTTGAAAAGCTAATAAGGATTAACATATTTGAATAGATAAATTAGTATTATTTTATTAATCAAATATAGGGTTTTACTTGTACCACCTACACTATAAATAGAACCCTAAGGAGTGAAAATTTCGTTCATACTCTTTCCAAGAGGCTTATATCCAAAATTTCTTCATCCTTCCTCTCTCTCTCTCTCTCTCCCCTCATCATTCTAGGAGTTCTAGCGTTTTGGTTGGGTGTGGGCCATTAGAGGCAACCATATTTTGGTGCAAGATTTCTAAAGATCAAGAAGGGATTCCAGGATATTATTTACTATAACAATATTAAAGGTATGTAATCAAAACTTATAGATTTCAATTATAATATTTCTTGTTTTAAGTTTCATAAGTATGTTGCTATTAATATGTAAAGACATAGATCCATTAGATTACATGTACCCTAAGTGTTAAGTGAATTTTCGTAAGTACATTAATTTTCTAACCTATAAATTCCATCAGTGATATCAGAGTCATGTCTTACAATTATATGTGCATAGTAAATGAAACCTACAAAACAAAACCAAATTTTGTAGGGCACGCCATGCTTCTCTAAAAATCGATTTTTTATGTTTTGGATTGCTTAATTCAATTAATAAGGTTATTTTTAGTGAGTATCTATTATTTTATTGTTAAAATCTGAATCCAGTAATACTATATTTGGTATGTACTTGATTTGATTATGAGCATGGTCCTTTTGGGTTGCCTTCACTCATGCAACTTGATGGGATGACTAGTGGAGAAAGAGAGTATGATTTATTATATGAATAATAAATTGGTACTCAGAATGATTTTATTAATATATTATAAGATTAATATGTTATTTGGAAATCATATAATTAATTAGTAATTAAGCAGAAATTTATGTGATATTAATTTTGGGATTAAAGGATCGGATTAATAATGGAAGGGTTGTTTTGCAAATCGTCGATAGTTGCAAACTGGGATGCTGGACTCCCTTGGAATACGGTGGACGGATTTCTATAGGGAGGCCCTATAGAAATCGTCTAAGGCCTTCCAAAAGGGAGGTCCATGGGTTGCTTGGTGCCTAAGTAAGGTATTAGAGTTTCCACCTAAAAACCCTAGCAGCCACAGCTATTTAAAGACCCTCTTGCTTGGATTTTCGGCTAATTTGATCTTTGGAAGAACCCTGGCTGATTTCCTCTTCTCTCCATCATCATTCTTTGCATTAGGTGTTTGTGACTCCATTAGAGATTGTCACACCCCCAAACTGAAACGGCGGAAACGTTCGGGAGTGGAGGCCGTCATGTACAGTATCACAATAATTGTATCACAGTAATCAAATTAAACACAACCATTACATTGAAATATAGATATTTACATCTGTTTGATGCATAGTTGTATACATAAAAAGTATAGTAAAATATAAAAGACGTGACCCTATATGCTC